GAATAGACAGAGAAATGGATGAGAAAGAGGAAGAGGTGTGAAGTGAAGAGACAAGAGAGGAAGAAGGCATTAGACCAGAAGAGGGAAAAGGTTACAGTGGGCGGGGTTGCAGGGGGGGGGGGACTTAGATGAGAAGTAACACAAGCATCTACTTAAAAAAAAAAAAAAAGTAGTGGGAAGGAAGGACTGATTACCGCGAGATTCAAAAGGTGTTGGCAGATGAGATCTATTGGCCTTGGGAATTGAGGGGAAGGTAGCATAGTCTAAGATAAAGGATAAATCGCTGGATAATTGGAAATACCTAAGATAAGTCAGGCAGGAAGGAGCAGGCTTGGGAAAAGATAAGGTGGCACCTCCAGAAGGATATATCTCCATGTCAAATCTAGAGCTCAGGAGACATGGATGTTGGAGTCAATGTAAGCCAGCAATTAAAGGACCAGAAGTAGATGGACTTGCCTGGGAGAGAGTAGAAGGAGAAGAAGAGGGCTTGATGTGTACCGCCCCAGGGCACCTCACCATTCATTCCCCTGTGTCAGTTCTTGCCCACACGGAATCTGGTTGGCAGTGTTCTGTATTTTGACTATGGTGATGGTTACAGGACTACAAGCATTTGCAAACACTCATCAAATTATACACCTAAAAAGGTGTGTTTTACTGTAGATCAATTATAATCATTGAACCTGACTTTTTAAAAATTTAAAGAAGAATAAAGCAAATGAGAAATTAGGTGATATTCTGATTCTATTATCTCCCGTGTCCTTGAGAACAGGATTGGGGACATAGGGAAAGTAAGATGCCATTCAGAAGATGCTAGGTGAAAACTTATAGTCTTGAATTCAAATTGAAAATATCCATATGAATCAAGAAGTATTTTGGGCATGGTGGCACACCTTTAATCCCAACAACCTGAGAGACCAAGGCAGGAGGATCCCAAATTTGAGACCAGCCTCAGCAATTTAGAGAGACTCTGTGTCTCAAAATAAAACAAAAAGGGCTGGGTTGTGGCTCAGTGGTAGAGGTTCCTGGGTTCAATCACCAGTACCACACACCCACCCCCCAAAAAAATAGAGAAGGAGAAGGGAGGACAGATGGAAGAAAGGAAGGAAAGAAAAGAAAAAATAGAAAGAAATAGTAATGAACAACCCTAACACTCAAGTTATGGTCTTGAAATACCATTTCCCACTAAAATAAACCAAGCTTCCTGGACAAAACCTGATTCCAGCTGGTGTGTGCCTGAAATCCTAGGGACTTGGGGGCTGAGGCAGGAGGATTGCAAGTTTGAGGCCAGACTCAGCAACTTAGTGAGGACTAAGCAATTTAGCAAGACCCTGCCTCAAAAGAAAGAATAAAAAGGACTGGGGGGATGTAGCTCAGTGGTAAAGTGATCCTGGGTTCAATCCCTAGTACCAAAAAAAAAAAAAAAAAAGAAAAGAAAAAAAAGCTAATTCTAGGACTAAAATAAGAAATGTGTAAGATGAGCTTAGAAACTCATGTCAGAGGCAGGGAAATCTATCAAAAACTGACAGAAACATGTTTGAAGGATTTGGGAACTAATTCAGAGAGACTGCCATTGGCCAAGGATGGGACAATTTGAGTACTAGTAAAAATAAAAATATGTCTAAATTCATATGTTCATAATGATGTCAAAGAAAAATTCACGCATCTTGGGAGGGTGGTTGCAAATCAATTCTTTGTTTTGAAAACTGGTAAATAGAACAAGATTCAATAATTTTTCTTACTTTTCCCACTAATACACCACTGAGTAGCCAAACTTTCTCTTTATTGAAGAAGAAATGATAGAAGTAAAACAACATCATTTTGTAGCCCCTCATGAATTGAGCCACCCTGGCTGCTAGCAACACGAAGAGAGCCAACAGGATATTATATGCTTTTGCTCTTTTCTTTTTCTTTTTTTTGCACTACTGAGGATCAAACCCAGGGACTCTTGCATGCTAGGCAAGCACTCTACCACTGAATCTATGTCCCCAGTCCTTTTTTAGTTTTTATTTTTTAGACAGGTCTCACCAAGTTGCTGAGGTTGGCCTTGAACTTGGAATCCTATTACCTCAGCTTCCTGAGACACTGGGATAACACGTGTATGCCCCTATGCCTAGCTCAATCCTCCTCCTCCTCCTCCTCCTCCTCCTCCCTCTTATTTTTGGTAGTTGTAGATGGACCACATGCATGCCTTTATTTTATTAGTTTATTTATTTGTATGTGGTGCCGAGGATCCAACCCAATGGCTGACATGTGTTAGGCAAGCACTCTGCCACTGAGTCACAACCCCAGCCCTCATTACTTGCTTCTTGATAAAGAAACAATACCTACAAAGGAGTCTTCTTCCCCCAGAAAAATCAAAATGAATTTGATAGAGCCTCTGGAATTATCTATCAATTTGCAGGAAGTAGAGAAAACAGAGGACAATGAGAGATAACAAACTACATTATAAAGTTATATAAAGTTCCATGAACAAATAAATTGCAAGGGGAAAAAATATGTGGGGTGGAGAAACTATGAATTTAGAAACCTAAAGATATATTTTTAAAAAGACCCTAAACCCATCCTGTGTAAGGATACACAGTTAGATATTAAAACTGCAACTGTAAATGTTGGCGAGGATGTGGTGAAAAAGGTATATTCATACATTGCTGGTGGAACTGCAAATTGGTGCAGCCAATATGGAAAGCAGTATGGAGATTCCTCAGAAAACTGGGAATGGAACCACCTTTTGACCCAGATATCCCACCCAATGGACTTAAAATCATCATACTACAGTAATATAGCCACGTCAATGTATATAGCAGTTCAATTCACAATAGCTAGATTACGGAACCAAACTAGATGTCCCTCAATAGATGAATAGATAAAGAAAATGTGGTTCATATACTCAATGGAATATTTCTCAGCTTTAAAAAAGAGTGAAATTATGGCATTTGCCACTAAATAGTTGGAGTTGGAGAATATCATGCTAAATGAAATAAGCCAATCCCACAAAACCAAAGGCTGAATGTTTTCTCTAATATACAGATGCTAATTCACAATAAGGTAGGGGGGCACTAGGGAAGAATAGCATTAACTTAGATTAGGTAGAGGGAAGTTATGAGAGGGAAGGGGAGGAGATGTGGGGATAGGAAATATAGTAGAATGAAACAGATATTATTACTGTATGTAAATATGTGACTATATGACCAATATGTCAGCAACATGTACTCTCAGAAAAATGAGAAATTATATCCAATCTATGTATATCAAAGTGAATAAATGCATTCTACTGTCAATTTAAAAAAAATAAATAAAAATGCAACTGTAAGAAAGAATGTAACAATGAATATAAAAGTCAGGACAGGTTGCTGGGGGTAGATTAGTGGCAGAGCTTAGTTTGACATGCTGCTGGGTTCTGGGTTTAATCCTCAGCACCCTGTGCCCAAAACAAAGTCAGAACACTGGTTATTCTTTATTGGGAGGGGTTGTGTTGGGTTGGGGTGGCACATGAATAGATTCAGTAGTCATGGCGAGGTGCTGTGTTCTTTCATGGAGGGTAATTACAAGGGTGTTTGCTTTATGATTGATTGTGTCCTACATGATTTTTATATTTTATGCTATTTTTTATATTTGTGTGATAAACTTAAATATTAGATTTTGAATGGTTCAGTAAAGGGTTTTATTGTTTTTGTTATATGTTTTTGTACTGTACCACTGAGCTACATCCTCAGCCTTATTTTTTATTTCGAGACAGGGTCTCACTAAGTTGCTGAGGCCTCAAACTTGCCATCATTCTGCCTCAGCTTCCTGAGTCCCTGAATTACAGGTGTGAGCCATAGTGCCTGGCCAAACTGGCAGTTTCTCATAAACTTTAAAATATGTCCTACAACCCAGAAATTCTACTCCTAAATCATTTCTCAAGACAAATAACATACCCATGAATAAAGAGTCACACACAAATGTTCATAGTAGGTTTTTTTCATAACAGCCTGAAAAGAAACTGTAAACTAAATGGCTATCAACAGGAGAAAAATGAACAAATTGTGGTATAGCAACGCAATGGAATACTATTCAGCAATAAGAAGAACTATTACGTGCATCCACATTAATAAATTCCAAACAGATGCTATGCAAAATAAATCAGACACACAAAAAAAGTACTTACTGTGCAGTTCAAAAAACTGGCAAATATAATCCAGCAGTATCAGTCAGAATAGTTAGTAGTTACATCTGGAGGGCAAAAATGTAATGCTTCCCAGGAAATTTTCTGGTTTGGAAACATTATATATTATAATCCTTTAGTTGGAGTAATTTTTATTATTAGGAAAAGTAGTTTTCCTCTACTCTCACTAAACAAATGCCAATCAAACAGATATCCGTTAATGGGATTTTTATATTTTTATACCGACATTGCCGCTGACAAGGGTGTCCGAGGTGTGGCTGCTGCAAAACAGAATCTATACCAAATTCTCAATCTAGCCCTGGGAATAACTCATCCCTATCATGAATAAAGGTGATAGAGAAAAGAAAGGGAATGCACCATTGAGGGAAGAGAGGAAACTGTGGCTTGAATACAGATAGGCCTTGGTCTTAACCGTGCCACAGAGAAGACCAGGTGTCCTGAATGCCTTGAAATTGAGATTCCCCACCATTTAAATCCTACCCGCCTGTAATACCAGTGACTCTGGGAGGCTGAGGCAGGAGGATCACAAGTTCAAAGCCAGCTTCAGCAATTTAGCGAGGTCCTAAGCAATTTAATGAAACCCTGTCTCAAAAAAAGGGGGGGTGGGGCTGGGGCTGGGGATGTGGCTCAGTGGTTAGACCCCGCTGGGTTAAATCCTCGGTATATACATGCAGACATAAACAAATAAATTCTTCCCAAAGGGAAACGGATGATGAAGGGAGCTGCTAGAAAACGGAAGGGCTCTTTCCAGTGAACGGTGTGTGCTTCCAGTTCCAGCCACTAGGGGGCAGACGTGCGGCGCCGGTAACGCTGAAATGTTTTCAGCAATGGAGAAGCTGGAGGCCGAATTGGGCAGCTCGCCAGTGAAAAAGCCAGAAAAGGGACTGGAAACAAGGGCAGGGCAGAGCTGGTAGGCGGAACTAGGGTGTGGACAGACCAGGCGCACACTGCTGAGGTGGCAGCAGGCTACTGAAAACTGGGTGGCAGGGTGAGGAGGGCTCAGCTGAACCCCAGCCCCGACATTGCGGCTGACAAGGGTGTCCGAGGTGCGGCTGCTGCAAAAAAGAACCTCTAAGCCAGGCCGCTGAACCTTCTGCTCAGAGAGAGGGGAGCCAGTCCAACGAGGAAGAACAGTTTTCAGAGGGATCCTCCCAGGAAAGTTGGAGAGGATCCAGAAACAAGTACAGACAGAAAATGGGGGTGGCCTGTAGAAAGACAAGGGATGACTTTTCCGGGGAGCGGTGAAGAAATTCTCAGTCAGTAAATTGACGATTGAAATTTTACCAGTCTCCTTCTTCCTGGTTCTTAAACCTCTGATCCCAGTTAAAAATGCAGTGGCAAAAAAAAAAAAAAAAGGAATACTTGGAATGCCTGTCAGTCCGTGGTGTGAATGAGTGATTGATTAAACAAATTTTGATTGAGCCCGTGCTTTGTGAACATAGACCCTACATTTTAGCTCTATGTGGTCCATCTGAACCAGCAATAAACAAGTCAACAAGTATATAAATAAAAAATCGATCCAGATAGTGAGAAGACAAAGGAGAAAATAGATCAGGTAAGGAAAAAGAGAAAGTCTGGGCAGGGTAGGGGAGTCTTCAGATGAAACGCTTAGGCAAAGTCTCTTTAGCCAGGACTAAAAGCTGAAGAGTTTGCAATGCAAAGATATGTGGGCAAACCTTGCAGACAGAGGGAAAGCACTGTGAGGGTCCAGAGCTTTATTTTTAGACTACTTAGCCTCTGAAATAAGGGGTTAGATTTTATTCTACTCACAGTGAAAAGTCATTATGTTTTAAACAGAACGGTGGTCTGAATTCCTGTGTGTATGCATACGCGTGTTTTCGTGCTGGAGGTATAGTTCAAAGGTAGGGCACTTGCCTCAAATGCACGAGATGATGGTGCTGTGGACTAGGAAAGAAGCAAAGAGATGGGACTATATTTCTATAAGTGGATGAGCAGCCCGGCCCAGTGGTGCATGCTTGTAATCCGGGCAGCTCAGGAAACTGAGGCAGGAGGATCTTGAGTTCAAAGTCAGCCTCAGCAACTTAGTGAGGGCCCAGTGGAACCCGGTCTCTAAATAAAAAATTCAAAAAAAAAGTGTGGGGGGGGGGGGGCGGCTGGGAATGTGGCTCAGGAGTTGAATGCCCCTGGGTTCAATCCCTGGTACCAAAAGAATAATTAAAAATAATAATAATAAGTGGATGAATGAGCATGGATGGCTGCTAGATGCTTCTCTTGAACAACTGCACGGATGGTAGCCCTGTTCAATGAAATGAAGGACACTGCAGAACCAGGATAGTGGTATTTATGAGGGGCAGAGGTTCAAGAGTTCTATTTTGGACTTGTTAAATCAGAGCTCCTAATACAAACTGGGGATGTGGTAAGTGCTTGCCTGGCATGCATGAGACCCTGTGTTCAATCCCAGTACTGAAAAAACTAAAAAAAAACTCCTAGTAGACTAATAGGTATTCAAGGGAGATGTCAGGTAAGCAGCTCAAGAAAAAGGCAGAGGTAGAACTGTGAATGCTATCAGCATATGGGTAATATTTCAAGCCAGTTACCTAAATGGGATCATCTAGGGACAGAATACAGACAAGTTTAAGAGAGAGAGAGAGAGAGAGAGAGAGAGAGAGAGAGAGAGATATCCCAGCCCAGCAAGAGCTCTTGGGCACAGGATCTAGAAAGAGAGGCAGCAGGGTGGGGCCAGAAAAGGAGCTTGGGAAGAAGAATTTGAGAGAAGCATAGTCTGTCATAGAAATAGATTTAAAGGGCTGAGAATATGGCTCAAGCGGTAGTAGTGCACTCACTTGGCATGCGCGGGGCGCTGGGTTTGATCCTCAGCACCACATAAAAATAAAAGATGTTGTGTCCACTGAAAACTAAAAACTAAACATTTTTTAAAAATCTTTAAAAAAAAAAAAGAAATAGATTTTAAAATATTTCAAGCCAAGAGGGTGTGGTCCACCATGTTGAATGCTGTTGAGTAAGATGAGAAAGAGAAGTGATGACGACCAGGGCAAGGGCAGTTCAAGCGGAGGGAGGAAGTTGAAAACCCAATGAATTTGAAAATGTAGGTTCTAATGAAAAGGAAAGCTTTAAACAGGACATGATGGTGAAGGCCTGTAATCCCAGTGATTCGGGAGGCTGAGGCAAGAGAATCTCAATTTGAGGCCAGCCTCAGCAGCTAGACCCTGCCTCAAAATAAAAAAGTAAAAAAGGCTGGAGATGTAACTCTACTAGGTTACAATCCTGGTAATAAATAAATACATATAAACAAATGAATGAACAACTCTAGTGAGAACAGGTCTTATAGGAGAAAAGAATACCCAGAGATGTCAGATAAAAGTCCATCGGGGAGCACTGAAGACAATCCAAATAGAAGAGGTTCCCAACCTCTTCTGGCTCACTATCAGAATCATCTAAAGAACTTTTAAACTAAATAAGTTTCCTAGTTTCATCCCAGATCTATTGAATAAGTAAGAGAGGAAACTGGAATCTGTACTGGAATCCTCAGGTAACACGGATCTACCTGAATTAGAGTAGTCAGTGAGCTGGGCAGGAATATTTCCACCAAAGCAGAATAAATACCTCCTCCTGGTTGGAGGTGAAAAGGTTAACATGTAGAATTTTCAATTTGATGGTGGGGAGACGACATTGGGATTTAAACCAAGGGTATTCTATCATTGAACTACATCCCCACCCTTTTTATATTTTGAGACAGGGTCTTGCTAAATTGCTGAAGTTTGATTCAACCTTGGAATCCTCCTGCCTCAGCCTCCAGAGTCTCTGGAATTACAGGCATGAACCACTGCACTCATCTAAAATTCTCAAATTTTAAGTTTATCTCCCCTAACTTTTCCCTTCGACCTTTAGAGTTGCTATCATTTGTCTGCTGGTGGGTGCTAATAGAACACAAAATGAATATTTACAGAAAAACTCAAGAAACAGGTAACCACTTAGTTAGAAATCTTGCTATTTTTCTTGGATATGTATGCTTGTAACTGTGATGTTACACTACACGTGTAGAATTAGAGGTATTCTTTTCTATTATGGAAATTGTTTTCTGTTTTAATGTGGAATTAGTCACTTTATGTAATTTTGATGGTGTTTTGTATATTTCACATAGATTTTCAGATACTTTGCCATCAAAACAGGTCTGAAGATAACTGAAAGGAGTGTTGAAAGCTTCACGATGTGCTGTCCCTCCCCTGCTCTCTCTCTCCTTGCTCAGGTAAGCAGCTTCCTCAAGGGAGTCCTAAAAGTCAAATCCCTCTCCCCCTGGAGTTCAGTTTGCTGGAAGAAAGGTCCCAAAATGGGAGAAATTTGATATGTTTGGAAGAAGTAGGAAAAACACCAGTTAAAATAGGAGCGTCTCTCTAAAAGACCATTTTATTAACATTCTTCCTGGATACATCCCTTTACAGTGATGTATTATGTTTATTATATCATTTGATCTTTATATCAATATATCAATCCTGGGAGAAAACTATGCCTTTATCAACTTCCTCTCGTTAAAAACAAAATCAAAAACAAAAGACGCGAATAAATAAATGGAGACTTCAGTGGGTTAAGACAATTTTCAAGATTCTTCAGGTTGAAATGCGTGAATTTCTAAGTGACTTGTTCACAATCAAAGAACAACAAAGTGAATGGACTCAGCAATGACAGAAAACAAGCTATTGATACACGTGGCAATTTGGTTAATTCTCCAGGGAGTTATGCTGAATGGAAAAAGCCAGTGTCAAAAGGCTGCATACTCTATGACAAAATTTCAGAAACAGATAAGTGGCTGGCAAAGGTTAAGTATGGTGGGAAGAGGTGGGGCAGGAGGGCACTGGGTATGGCAGGCAACACAAAGAATCTTTACTGTAATGGAACTGTTCAGCCTCTAGACCAATGGTGGACACACTGACTGCCCCATGTGATTAAAGTCATATTCTAAACACACACACACACACACACATACACACACGGGTACAAGTAAAACTGGGGAAATCTAAATAATGGATATCAATATATTGGCTATGAAATTGTTCTATAGGTTTGCAAAATATTACCACTGGGGAAAACTAGATAAATGATACATTGGATTTCTCTATATAATTCCTTACAACTGTATATTAATCCACAATCTTAATAAAAACTTATCTTAATAAAATATCTTAATGAAAACTTCCACTGGAAAAAAAATGAGTGAGTCAGGTTGAGTCTCTGGCACTTGATTCTTGCCTGTGCATTATATCCCACCCCAATTGTAATGGAATAAGATATGATCTTATTCTTGCAATCCCTAGGTTGACTCATACAACTTTGGGTGAGTGAGTTACAAATGGGGTACGTGCATGCATGAGGTCCTGGGGTTCATCCCCAATACCACAAAGAAAGAAGGAGAGAGAGAGAGAGAGAGAGAGGAGGGAAGGAGTTACGTGTGTTATATGTAAATTTTACCCTAGAAGATATAATTAAAGGCTAGGGAGATGGGTTCCCCAGAATAAACTCCCTCAGTGGTCCCCACTTGAAAGCCAGGAGAACCTAAACTCTACACTGATTCTTGCAACACTTTTATATTCTGACACATACACCCTGACTTTTCTCCAACTCTTTTGGGCTGAGTTCAGAAGAGAATATGGAAATAGAGTCAACTAGTGCAAAACATTAAAGAACTGAGAAATTGTCACTCCCAAGCTGATCTTATGCTACAGCAGCCACCAAACCCCTGGTCCTACCTAACAGGTTAAAGTGGAAAAAGAATTTCTCCTTGGGGGGATATGCAAACAATTTATTGGCCTTAGTATGTTTCAGGGGCTTTCATGAGTATCATCAAATTTAATCTAAAAAGTTGGTATTGTTATCTCCATCTTATACCTGAGGACACTGAGGCTTAGAGAGGTAAAGTCACAAAGTAGGACCTTGGGCAGAGCCAGCCTTAAAGCTATATTTGTCTGAGTTCTAAACTTGAGCTCTTTTACCAGGAGAGCTGAGTGCTTCTTTTTAGTAATTGCTGAGCCAGTACCTCCTGTGATGTCTAGTCTCCCGTTGCACTAATACTTGCTTGTACCTTAATGATAGCTCTAAGAATGCTATATTACCTGGCAGTAGCCTGAAGCCAGATTTTAAGTCAGAAAAGTCCTGAATTTGAATCCTGGCTCTGCGAACTTAGGGTCTGTGGGCAAGACTCACAACATTGGTAAGTCTCAATATTAGTTTCTGTAAAGTGGGAATAATGACGAAATCACTGGAGTTGTTGGGAAGACTATGTGTAAATGTAAATGAGGAAGCTCAGTGTCTGACACATTCGTAATGCTTCATAAATTATAGCTATTAAATTATATTAGCATGAGCCCAAGCAGTGATGCTCCATCTTGGCTACACATTGGAATCACCTAGGGAACTCTGAGAGCACTGAGGCCTGGGTCCCACCCCAGAGATTCTGGTTTAAAAGTCTGTTGTGATTCTCAAGATTTGATCATGTGCTTCAGAATCACTTGGAGGTCTTATTAGAACTTAGCTCATTGGACCCAAATCCAGACTCTATATCTGGAATCTGAAATCTTCCAGAAAAATCTCCAAGCTTTCCTGCTTCCTCCATGAAAATTACATTTTTATCAAATGCTTTTTATGTACTGGGTGTTACACTGACAGCTTTACAAATGGTATATCACATTTAGTACTCACAACAATTCTAGTTGTTGTTATTGGTACCAGGGATTAAACCTAGGGCTGCTTTACCATTGAGTTACATCCCCAGCCCATTTTGTTTTAATTTTTTTTTTAATTTTTAATTTTAGATGTTGATGGATCTTTATTTTGTTCATTTATTTATATGAGGTGCTGAGGATCAAACCATTGTCTCACACGCGGTAGGCGGTTACTCTACTGCTGAGCCACAACCCCAGTCTCCTCATTCTTTAATGTGTTTTTTTGGAGGGTACCAGGCATTAAACTCAGAGGCACTCAGCCACTGAGCCACATCCCCAGACCTATTTTGTATTTGATTTAGAGACAGAGTCTTACTGTGTTGCTTAGCACTTCGCTTTTGCTGAGGCTGGCTTTAAACTCAGGATCCTCCTGCCTCAGCCTCCCAAGCCACTGGGATGGCGGGCATACGCCACCATACCTGGCCCCTCTTTAATTTTTATTTTGAGCTAGGGTCTTGCTAAGTTGCTGAGGCTGGCCTCAAACTTGTTATCCTCCTGCCTCAGCCTCTGGAGTCACTAGGATCACAGGTGTACACCACTGCATCTGGCTCTTCCAAATTCTTTTTTTGGTACTAGGGATTGAACCCAGGGGCACTTAACCACTGAGCCACATCCCCAGTTCTTTCTACTTTTTATTTTGAGACAAGATCTCACTAAATTGCTGAGGCTGGCCTCAAACTGGCTATCCTTCTGCCTCAGCCTCCCAAGCCATATGCCACCATGTCCACCTCTTCCAGATTCTTTACACATTGCTAGGCAAAAAAATCTCACTGTAGGGAGAGTTCCCATTCAGGGAGTCCCACCCAATGCCTACCTATCTTACTCCAGTTATATACTCTGTAGAGCGTCTGTCTATATTCTGTATAATAAAGTGCCAGGGTTTATTCTATTATCCCTCTCTGGAATAAGTTGGACCTTTGTATCCTTGAATTCCACATCTGTGGATTCAACCAGCAATGGATTAAAAATATTCAGAAAAGGGCTGGGGATGTGGCTCAAGCGGTAGCACACTCGTCTGGCATGTGTACGGCCCAGGTTCGATCCTCAGCACCACATACAAACAAAGATGTTATGTCCTCTAAAAAATAAAAAAATATATATATATTAAAAAAAATTCTATCTCTCTCTCTCAAAGAACTCACTCTTTAAAAAAAAAAAAGAAAAGAAAATATTCAGAAAAAAATTCCAGAAAGTTTCAAAACTTGAATGTGCTACACTCTGAGCACTATGCTGAATCCATGTGAATTAAGAGACACGTAAAAGCTAGGCACAGTGGCTCACACCTGTAATTCCTATGACTCAGGGGACTGAGGTAGGAGTATCACTTGAGCTCATAGATTCAAAATTAGCCTGGGCAACATAGCAAGAACTTATTTTAAAAAATAAAAATAAAGAGAGAAGTGCAGGCACATCTGCTGAAGCCTCCATCATTTCACAGATCTTAGTCTCTCTCCAGCAGTTTTTGAGCATTGTTTGCCTCCTTTGTACACCATGTAAATAGACCTATTTGGTTGCATCTGTGCTCAGTGTGTAAAACCTTTTTCTGTATATTCCCCAAACATACAGAATAATGACTATTTACACAGAATTTGCATTTTTAAAAATATTTTTTTAGTTGTTGTTGGACACAATACAATATCTTTATTTTATTTATTTATTTTTATGTCATGCTAAGGATCAAACCCAGGGCCTCACACATGCTAGGCAAGCGCTCTACCTCTGAGCTACAACCCCAGCCCAGAATTTGCATTTTATTAGGTATTATAAGCGGAATAGAGGTGATTTAAAGTATATGGGCTGGCTGTGGTGATGCATGCCTATAATCCCAGGGGTTCAGGAGGTTGAGGCAGGAGGATTGCGAATTCAAAGCCAGCCTCAGCAAAAGCAAGATGCCAAGCAACTCAGTGAGACTCTGTCACTAAAAATACAAAATAGAGCTGGAGATGTGCCTTAGTGGTCAAGTACTCCTGAGTTCAACCCCCAGTACCCTAAATAAATAAATAAATAAATAAATAAATAAATAAATAAATAAAATATATGGGAAGTGCATAGGATATATGCAAATATTATCTCATTTAAAATAAGGGACTAGGGCTGGGGTTGTAGCTCAGTGGTAAAGCCCTTGCCTAGCATGAGTGAGGCACTGAGTTCAAATCTCAGTACCACATATAAATAAGTAAAATAAAGGTCCACCAACAACTAAAAAAAAAATACTTAAAATAAATAAATAAATACAATAAAACAAAGGACTATGGGCTGGAGTTTTGGCTCAGTGGTAGAGCACTTGCCTAGCATGTGTGAGGCACTGGGTTTGATTATCAGCACTGCATATAAATAAAAGAATAAAATAAAGGTTCATAACATCTAAAAAAAACTTAAAAATAATAATAAAAATAAAATAGGGGACTAAGCCATGCCTGTAATCCCAGCAATGAGGGAGGTTGAAGCAGGAGGATCACAAAACCCAGCCTCAGCAATTTAGTGAGGTCCTAAGCAATTTTGCAAGAAAATAAAAAGGGCTTGAGATATGGGT